TGGAACGCATGCAAATGCATCAAAAACGAATGCAAAAACGGCCCGGAACGCATTAAAAAGCGGCACAACCCACTGCACTACGTGTGCAGAAACTCATGCAGATCTGGTCTGCATTTGGTGTGAACAAGCCCTTAATGTATAAAATTGTTATATTCTAAGGGCATGCATGCGCAGCAACTCACAGCAAGGTGCTAATCTATGCACTAATAAATGAGAAGGAAGGAGCAGATGCATTTTTCAACCATAGACTGCCTATTTGTCATCTGAAAAAGCCATAATGACATGTATTGGAAGAGGAACACTATATAGCTTAGCAGGCATACAAGTGAGAAAAACAAAACAAATATTCGTCGATTTTAATCGACTAAATCGATTAACTGTTGCAGCTCTAATAAAAACCCCCAAAAATAAATCCACTAGTACTTTCCCATACTGTTACTTCTTAAATGTAGTCGTGTATCTTCTCAGTCAGCTCTATCCATGTTAACTTGGCATGCATTCTTTCCAAAAACAGCCCATTGACACAAGGCAGTAGTTTGTCCTGCAAGGACATTCTGATCTGATTAGTGTTTAGACTGTACAGGGAGTTGGAGGAGCTATGCAGGGTCCAATACCAGGTAATCAGGGGAACACTGTGATAAGACAAGGTTTTCTTGTTTGTCCAATCACCATCTCATTGAAAATCCTGAGCTAGCGGTGTCTATGGGTATCTCAGAGACACGAGATTTAACCTTATCCAACTTCTTCAGGTTATTGACTTCTCGTGTCTATGGGAAAATTAAAGTAAACCTGTACTGAGAGAATTATATAGGCTGCCACTGTAGAAATCCTAAAATGCTACTTGTTTGCCCTAACCCAGAAAAATCAGGCTACAAGTGAAGTCAGAACCCACCATATGCATAATTCTTCCAGGTCAGGTAATTAAGCATTGCAACCAGAGAGTCAGGATCACAGCCAGGAACCTTGGAACCATGTTACTTTCAATGTTATATATTTGTTTACTTTTGGAGGGTAAAATGTTAGAGCCATGTTACTAATAAAAGAATAAGGACACAACCATAAAAACTCTGGTAATTGCCCCTATATATACAAGACACTAAACTGTGTAAAAAAAAAAAGTTAGCTGAATCACAAAAAACAAACCTCTAATTATAACCTTATCACAAGAAATAAATAGATCAAACTCACTATTAAGTCACCTGCAGATTGTTACTATGTGAAAGAACCTTGTTACTGAATGTCTGGTTCCCTTAGGCTGTGTTTACACCTAGGCGTATTGAATATGTGCGTTTGGCGATTCGCGGTAACAAAAACGCGCGTTTCCGAGGGCTACTTGGCTGTATCCCAATGGAAACGCGCAACAAAAATACCGCAAAGAAGCTCATGTATCTTTTCAGGCGTAGGCCGTTTTGTAGCGCGTTCAGACTGGCTGAAATACGGCAAGGTGTGAACCAGACCCATAGAAAACAATGGGATTTTCATGTTTGAGCGTTTTGTAGAGCGTTCGTAGAGTGTTGAACGCGCTACAAAATGTACAGGTGTGAACCAGGCCTTATATATACAGGCAGTCCCCGGGTTACATACATACGACTCCTACTTACAAACAGAGGCTATTACTGTACAGCATGAGTAGTTGTAATGCTACCGCGCTCGTGTCGGCGAGGAGTGCCCGCCTTTTTGGGTCTGGTTTGTAGTACTGTACAGGAAGTTGGCTCTTGTTAGACGTGCAGACGAGGGGTGCCAACCTCTTCTTCTAGGTCACTGTGAGGTTTTTACTGCTGTCTGTATCCTCATTAGAAAGATTTAATCCTTGAGACAACAGGAAATGAGAGGAAATCTAAAACTAGGAAGGGAAATTCACTCCTGTAAGAGTGATCATGGGAAAAAGGTGTCTCCACGGAAGCTTTATCACCAATCCTTGTTTCCACGACAACCCACAATTTTCAAAATCCAATTGTCACAGGGACAGAAAGTGAGGTGAAATCTTCTGAACAGGGGCACACACAGAAAAACAAACTTTACAGGGGGTTAACCCTTCCCTATGCTATCCAAAACTGAAAAAAACATTTTGGGGCTTTTTACACTTAAAAAAATGTACCTGTTCCAACTTATATACACATTCAACTTAAGAACAAACCTACAGACCCTATCTTGTTCGTAACCCGGGGACTGCCTGTACTAAATGATTGCTCAGTAGTCTTTGGTATTAGTGTTATCTACATGAAAAGTGGCACAGAATGCCCGAAAGCTTGTATATTTGTAGAACACTGCTGCAGCCTTCAATGATTTTCTCTTTATGAAAGAAAGAGCTCTTAGGTGTTGGCTCTGTGGTATTGCACTTATTACTTCCATT